TCTTGGTGTAAAGTAAGAATAGCCTAAACATTATCACTTGGTTTTTAAATCAGTAGGAGAACAGGATCTGACCCACTTAGACTTCATTTGCAACATGTGGAGGCTGCTAAAATTCTACCTTAAAAAAAGGCTAGCTGTAATCTGTCATTTAATCTGAAGATTCCCTGCAGCAGTGAGATTCAGGTAAGAAAGAATTAATGATAATGGTATTAATGAACATTTACAAATGCACATTTCATTTAGCTAGAACAAGATAGTTATCTATGATATACTGCATATCAAATCAGCTACCAGACTGGTAGACTAATGAATCAGCTACATAGCTAAATATGTGGTCTTTAGCCTTAATTTGAAAGCTGTACAGTAAATGCTAACTGGTCATTTGGGCAGAAAATGTTTAAATAAACACTATCTGTAGAATTAAGTTAAATATCAATCCAGGATTTTTTATATGACTTTAACTCTAACATGACTGAATAATCATATTTAGTAATCCTTGTAGGGGACATACTCAGGTGTAGACTGAAGGAAAATATTGCCTTTGCTTCCTCTGCCATGAGCAAATACTGAACATGGTTGTAAAATAGAGGTTATTATCAAGATATGTGTGCTATATCATAAATGTTCCAACAATATAACTGAATTTACATTGAATTACTAAAGAAAAGACTCATAGCCCAGTTTTGTGGCAGTGAATCCTCTGTTTCCTGTTATTTTTAATGAGCTTAATATAATTCCTTCTCTATATACAGCCATTTTTTCATAACCCTGGCTATTGGATAAGAGAAAATAATGTATTCTTTAGATCATACAAGGCACAGTTATTTTCTAGTTTCTCAAAGGCATCTTTATATTAATTGTAATACCAGATAGCTAAAGAGCCTGACTGACATAGCAGGTTCAGTGTTCCTTATGTAGTAAGGACCACTTATCTGTGTAAGCTGAGTCTAGACATGGCACATTGCTCAGGAAAGACTGGCAAATGTTGCACCAGGAAGAAGAATCATCACCGCAGATAACCCTGGAAAAAGGACAGGAGGGGAGGTGAACAGAGAAAATAGAGCTATTTAACGCAAAAAAAGGTTGACCATTGCAGAGGAAATAAAAGAAGTGACTGTTATGGAGAGCATGTCATGTATCTCACATGGTAGTCATGCATCTCTGCCTCTCTTCTGACATGTCACACATTCAGCTGAGTTATGTATATGCTGCAGGCATCGTTAGATGTCTCAGCATTAGCCAGGAAACACATTCTCATGCTGCTTCATCTGAGGGATCAAGGCCACAGCAAACTGTCTGCTGTGGCAATGGTAGTCAAAATGCCAGCGCAAGGTGAAGGGCTTGAGTCTGTCTTTCTCACTTCCCATTCAGCTCAGCAGCTCAGCCCTCAGAAACCTCTAAGCTTTCTCTCCTGGCAAATGAACTTTCTACCCTGCAAATAACAGCACTCCTTACTGATTTCTGCTGCCAGTGTGTCTTTCACTCAGTTTCTGAATATTTCTAACACCTCAAAGGTGCTTAGCCCTGCTCCACACCCTATCCCAGCTAAAACTTGGGATACCACTAGTCAGTTATAATTTATATATATAAAAGAAAACAAACACAGAAAATGAAACCTGCAAATGATCGTGTTTCTTAAGATGAGAAAACTCTCACAGAGCAAAGGAATCCTTGATGGCTGATTAGATGATTGGCATAATGCTGTTAATGGCAATCAGCGGTTAAGGGATGGGCAGTGCTGTGAGTTCACACTCTGTTGGTTCCCAAATAAAGTGATGTCCAATGGCTAATGCATGAACTTGAATTGATATATAACTGATACTGAACCTGATCTCTCTATGCCTTCGTTTTCCACACCTAAAATAGAGACAGTAGCTCTTCCCTACGTCAGAGGAGTGTAGTAAGGAAATGGTATGTAGTTCTCCAGTATCACATTAAGTAGGATTGTAACAGGCAGTAAGCAGATCTACCTAATGTAAGAAGCAATCATAGAGGAGTTAATAACAGGTTTCATTTTATAAAAGCAGCAGAACAAATTGAGATTTAACAGATATAGGCTAACAGAAGAATACTCTAATTCTCTCAGTTGACTGTTTTCCATTACAGGCTCAGCAGGTACAATTCAGAAAAATTCCAGTAAATTTTATGAGGGAATAAATATATTGACTGAGAATCTGATTGGTCTTTCAGTATAGATTTTATATGGCCTACATGAAGGGGCCTTGACAAATGCATGCATCAGTATCTGTCAGTTATCTATGATATTAATTTTGAAATATATAAGTTGGTGTAAAGTTCATTTATGACATTAATTCAGAGCAGTGATGAGGAATATTCCTATCTTAAATTCTTATTACCAAAATGCAGCAACAAATCACTGTTTAAATGTGATGTTGTAATAAGTGGCTTACTAGCCTTTTCAATGGCTTTTTTGATTAAGTTCTGTAGGTGATGTAGTCTACAGGGACAAATAGGAAAAATGTTCTTAAATATTTGATGCGTGACTCATAGGGAAAACGTGGTACTTGGTCTCAACTTAGTTTGACACAGCCCCTTAAAATGCGACCTGGAAAAGAGTTCTATTTATGCTTTGAGAAGATGCACAGGGGAAAAGAAAGAAAAGAAAAAAGAGGAAAAAGTGTTTTAAGAAGGTCTACTTTGTGGCTTCTAAGGGTGGTAAAAACTTGTAGAAGTAAAGGAAGCAGTAGTAACAGAGAAAGATCTTCGACAGCCTGAAACAAGCCAGTGCTGGTGCATCTCAAGAACTGTCTGTAGGCACAGGTTTTTTAAATCCCAGGATGGAGAAGAGAGAGACTGGGTTGTTTATCATGCAGTGGTAAACAGAAGCATAAAACATAGGAGAGGCAGAATTGTTCTGCTGCAGGAGCAAGGAGAGAAGAAGGAAAGGCCTGAAGGCAAATGACCAGGACTGTCACTTGGAAGTCTTCATAAAGAACAAGATTTGGTTACCCAAAATTGGAGGATTATATTTATGATACAAATGGCTTTGTCACTCTCATCTCAGTCAGTGAGAGACTAAGAAGACCCATCTCACATTCCTGTTCAGGATGCCTTATTTTTCATGAGAAAAGAAACAGGCAACACATACAAGTCAGCACTCTGAGCAAGCAGTTGCAAATCTGATCTGTCAGGCAGCAGTCTTGATGAAAGAGAAGTTCTTTATATCGATTTTTGTGAACTTTTAAATCTCATATTCATTCATGGTCATTGCATTCGTATTTTCTTCACAAGTTCAAAAACTGAGGATGGAAGGCTTATAGGGTTTTGCTTTTCTGTCCTTGTTTACTTGATTTCTTTTGGTTAGAAATGACCAAGCGACTTCCATTCTCTTCTAAATTATTTATTTCTGCCAAAGGTCCGTGGCAGACAACAATGCTGCCTTTTATACAATGGATGAACTTTCCTCTTTGTATCAAAACAGACTCAAAAGGGATCCATGCCTTAAAACAAGGAACCCCCTTGAAATGTACTTCCAATAGCAAAATATCATCTCACTGGTTTTAGTTAAAATGCTGTAATTGTTCTGGCTGCAATTTCAAGACAGCTTTTTTCCAATGAAGGTAATTGAAATTCACTGTTTGTTATGAACACTGACATGCTCATGCTTTAGTGAGTTTTTGCTGAACAAAGTACTTGAGAACAAGTAAAGAACACCTGAAGGGGGAGATACTTAATGATGGGTTTCAGGTACTGAAGAATGCTTCTGGCACTCGGGAACGAAAACTGGGTACAATGTCTTGCAATCAGCACCAATGAAGGTGGGGACAAAGCAAAAAAAAAAATTGTTCAGTAGATGGGATACTACCAATTAAATGTTTTTATACACTGTCTACTTCTGGTAGTGAAATCTTTCTAAACAGATTTGTCCTGGGCACCTGATAGAGAAGGCACATATAGCCTATGTGGGGCAAAGAGCTGGTACATAACAAGACAAATTTCATTGGGACATCTTAGAACTAAACTGAATCAAATGGCATGCTGCCATGTCAGTGATCTTTTATAGAATGCAAATAGGTCTGTCTAATGCAGAAAAAGTACACATAATTCATTTTAGACTTAATTAGGTTTTAATCAAATATTGGTACCAAAGCAGACCTTGGAGAAAGACTGTGATATAAAAGCCTTCAAAGCTTCTTTGGAAAACTCTATATGATTTGTGTTGTAGTAAGTCAACTTGCCAAGTGGTGACTATAAAATGTGAATATCTTGGCTCTATGATGGTCTGTTATAAAACTTAGGAACAGGTGAAATGCAATGCTTTTATGAAAAAAAAAAGTGAGTCATTTTGTGAGTCACTATCTCAGGGAGATGATTTCTTTTGACAGTTGGCTTTTAGGATAGTAGTAAAAAGAACTATCAAGGACAGTATGCAATTAAAGGTACTTTAACCCACATTAAGGGGCTACAGTATATAGTATGGAATTATTAGTAAATAATGTTTAATTGCAAAGCAAGGGAAGCAAATATGAAATTAATTTATCTATTAGTTTTCATTATTATGGCTCTGCCTAAGTGACCAGATTCAGATATTTTTATGTTCCATGCTAGCTGGATTTTGGAAGAGATACTTTCAGATTAAGTATTACATGGTATAAACTCCAAAATTAATTTTGTCCTTGGGCAATGTGCTGCCTTGTTCCTTAGATACTCTAACCTGTCCAGCAGGCTATTTCTGAACACAGTTCAGCTGGAAGTTCAAAGTTTCTGTGAAGGACCGTCACCACTTGTGGATCTGTTTTCCATTTTTAGAGTATGAAAAAGGTCAAGGAGAAGAGGAGGCAGGGTCCCAGATTTGACCAGAATGATAGATATGCTTTAATAGGAAACCTTCTCCCATGTTTCTTTAATATTAAATCAAACTACTTGTCAGGGCCCCAAGTGCACCAATAGGCCTTGATTGCCATGACCAGCCTCACTTGGGACCTCCACCCACACCCACAAAGGCCCATTCCTCCAGTATCCCCATTTAATATTAAACCTTGAGTCTATTTCTGTGCTGTTTCTGAATAGTTTGGATTTTCTTGTTCAAATGTAACTTGCAACCTTGCCTTTCCCATCAGAAGCTGCTATACCTGCAGTCCTACAAAGGACCTGACAGTGGCAGGAGAGGGAGCAGCCTGCCTACTTTTGGATCCACCCCTAAAGGTAAATTCAGGAATGGAAGCTGGGAGGGGGAGGAAATTGAGGCAAAATCCTTCTGATCCATGAGAAGAGCAGAGCTACCCTGAAGCTCTGTTTTTGGCTTTGTACATGTTGTTGTGTTTGCATCACCATCACAAATATCTACAGATGGAATAACTTGGTGGCTCTTGGAACATTTACAGACTGATCTCAGGCTGTAATTTTGATCAATATTAAATATTTCTAGGGAAATCTTAGGTGTTTATGAGAGCCTTAAGTGGAAAAAAGCACCCTGCTTCCCAAGGTGTTTGCTGTGAACACAGAATTTCAGGTATGGCACTAGGAAAATGTTTGAATGTTTTGGTTTGTTGAGCAAGATTAAAAAGTCTTGGTTTGGATTGTTTTGTGGCTTAACTTTATTCCCCTGAAGTGATGTATTGTCTCATAGGAGACATCATTTTATTGCCTGTTTTAGGGCTCAGGCTCTTAAAGCCTGAGCTTGCTATTCAGATTGTGTCACCCATCTTTATTAGAAGCTGGTGTGTAAAGAGCTTGGTGTTTCTGATAGCTGCTTAATAGTGAAACCTAGGGATTTGGTCCCGAGCTTACTGAAAGAAATGAGAAAACTTAAATTAGCTTCACTGGATATTCCACAGGGCTGTAAAAAAGCAGATGTTGTATATTGAGAAAGTCTGTATGTTCACTTAATGCTTAATTTTCAATTTGATGTCCAAACTATAACTGATATTTACCCAACTGTATTATTTGATATTGCTGTTAGTATTAAAAGTGTATGTACTCAATTACGCATCTCTAAATAATTCAAACTCAACGTAAATATTTTTTCTTTTTTTTTTTCATGGTTGGCAGGTATGGTGGGCTTTTTTCTTTTTTTAGGTTGAGCTTAAGGAAAGAAGGGGGGCTAAGGAAAATACTGTGTGAGCTGCCAGCTGTACAGAAAGATGGCATGGTTTGATGTGGAGAACAGTGGGTATTGTTTACCTTGACTGCAGCAAAGCTTTTGACACTGTCCTCTATAAGGTCCTTGCAGACAGTTGATGAAATATGGGCTAGATAAATGGGCAGTGAGATGGACTTAAAATGAGCTGCACTGCCTGGGTCAGAATTGTGATCGGTGGCACAAAGTCCAGCAGGAGACCAATCATTAGGGTTGTATAACATGGCTGGGGCCAACACTAATATTTTAACAAATGACCTGTATGGTGGAACAGAGTGCACCCTCTGCAGATTTGCAGATGATATACAACTAGATAGACTGATTTAGCCAGTTGGCTATAGAATGCATAACACAGTGAACAAAGAAGTTACACTACTATGTTCAGAACATGCTCTTTCAGAAAGGTTTGTTGGTTTTTTTTTTTTCTCCTAAGAATGTGTTTAATTTGTCATAAGAAGGCCGAATATGGATAATTTCTCTTCACTGTCAGCTATTCCTAGTTTGTGCTGCTTGTAATCCTTTAACAATCCTGAACTGTAGCGGGAGGTCTTAGAAGAGCTGGTCTTCATGAATAGATGTGTAAACACAGCAGCAAATGGGTTGTTTTGTAAGATCATTGGGTCTGGATCTCGGTTTAGGAATTGATTCTGTTCTTTCAGTGCCCACTTATTCCAAAGGTTGTAATTTGCTAGCATGTAGACTGAAAGAAATATGAGTTTTCAGCAGTGGGGATCTGTGAGATGAAGCAAACTTCAATTGCAAAAGAAAAAAAAAAACCTTCTTTTATTTTGTATCACTGACGAAGGCTGATTGGCTGAACAGTATATAAATGTTTGCAGCTACTGTTTGTGCTAAATTGTGACTAAGCAGTTTGTCTGCAAGAGGTGTTTATTTTGCATCATTTAGGCTATTGTGCGTACTTAAATACCTTCTGTGTATTTAGAAGATTGCTCATTAGTTTGCCACTGTCCCCAGCAGAAATGTAACAGGCTCAGTTCGTTGGGCATTGTTATGAGTTGATTTCCTGCCCTGCATTGTTTTCTGCAAATTGCTCCTTATGAGGACATGGGCTTTAACTGCAATCACAGCAAAAGTAAACATCTTGAATAAAGACAAACAAAGCTTGGTTGTTAGGAAGAGAACCAGTCAAGCAGGAAATGCCAAGCAAAACAACATTCTTTGGGTGCCTGATATAAATATGATTCTTGAAGCAGCCTTTTGGGTCCTGCTGGCTGAGGCTTCCCTATACTCGCTACAGACACAAAGAAGTGCAGGGTTAGTGATCCTGGCTGAGATGTAGAAATTCTCATCAAGTATAGAATAAAAATCTTAAAGTATATCTTTATTTTACACAGATGTTACCTTTAGCATGCTCTAAAGAGCAGAACAGTCCTCTGCACTTAGTATCCCTAAAGCTGGTCTGGACCTGAGTGTTTGTAGTGGTGGCATGGCCTGGAGTCTGCTTACTCAAAAGCACCCTGCATGACCTCACCACCACTTTGTAACTGTGTGCTTGTGGCTGAGGGGTTTCTTCATCACTTGAACCCATGGTCAGTTATGGTATTTAAAGGGAATTGTCCCTGATTATCAGGTTGCAACAAGAAAACCACATCGTAATGTAAAGTTAATCGTCTTTTAAATTATTTGCCAGTTTCTTGGTTTTCTGCTTTCTTAAAACAGACAAAAGCTTGATGGTGGGGGCTTTTGTTTTCTTTTTTGTTTTCTGAATTTTATATTTCTGATTTTTATATAGTCATATTGTGCACACATACACTGCAGGAGTGTTTTCTGAAAGTGAAACCTGGGATCTTCATGAAGTGCTCCCTAAGAAAATGTCAGCATTGTCAGAGAGCTAAGGGTTTTGTAACTCACCTTTCTCTATGAAATGGAAGAGGTTAAATGGGAGAAGTTAAAATGCTTTGAGCAGAGTGTAGATCTCCAGTACCACATAATTTTCCTCTTGGGATATTTTGGAAGTTTTGGAAATGAGAAGTCTCAGCAGCTAAAATGTGAGCTGTTTCCATTTGAAAAAATGTGTTGTACAGTTTTGAATGTAGCCTTCCAGTTTGCTCTGAAAAGTTTGCTCTTTTATTGTTAACCCTAAAGCAGTTCTATATGGGAGACAAAAAAGATTTTGAACTATTTGCTTGCATTCTGATACATTAAGAAAATTTCATAAGACTTAAGCAGACGTTCCCACCAAAATCAGTCATTGGAGAGGTGAAGCAGGAGTGTTTATAATTTTTATGGAACTATGAATTGGGATGTGTAAAATCAAAGCCACTATTTTTATTAATAGTAGATTGTAAGATTGCTGCTGATAGGCAAAATACCTTATTGCAAGAGGCATTGAAGGCATTTGTAATCTAGCTTTATATATGGAATAGAAAACATTTTGCAAAATTTCATTTTGATAATTTGTTAATGACATTATTGCTAACATGACTAAAACTACTTCCCCCTGCTGATCATCATATTGGTGATGGTGATCTCTCCTTAAGTTAGTTGAGAGTTATAATAAACAGAATGTAAATAGAGTCCCGTTCAATGGAAGCATAACCTGTACATTAACACTAATGCTTCAACTAAAGATGCTCTGTATGCCCTGTAGGCATAACCTTGAGGCTTACCAAAAGTAAGATCTGCATCTGGATCTAGCCTCATAAAGTTTTGTTAATGTCTGAAAGTCCAATCTGGTTAGACATTCTGGTGGCCCATATTTACAGATGGGCAGGAACAAGTCTTGGCAAAACTTGTGGGAAGTTGTTTTTTATTATACTTTGTTTTTAATTCCATAAACTCCACTTTTTCAGCAATTAGCTATCAATTGGCTAGACTGACTTAAAAACATTCCTGACCTGGATTCTGGGGTGCATTCTTGTTCTAGACCTTCATTTCCTCACCCTTGCCTTCCCTTACCATCTTCCCCTGGCTAAACACAGATGCATCTGTAGTGGAAGGCTTCAAATTTCACTTTAAGTTCTCAGGGCTTAACTAGAAATCTTATTTGTTCTTCTTTCTTATATTTTACATATATTTTAATACCTGAAGTTTCAGATCAGCATATTTTTTCCTTTAATAAACATTTAAGTTTACAGCCTTTAATCTCTTTTTATTTAAAACCACAAAGAAATGTACAACCTTTATGAATTCAAATTAAAAATTAAGTGTGATGGAAATGATTTACAGTTGCTGTAGCTTAGCAGGGAAAAATACAACTCTTTTGCAGTACATCATACTCTGTTCCTTTAATTTATAAGCAAGTTACAATGTAACATATTAATCATACAAGGAAAATGTAGCTTCATTTTGAAAGATTTGTTGTAGCTGAACTTCACACACCTGCAAATTATTTATTCTTAAGAAAACATGTGCACCACACACTATTGCATCCACCAAGAAAAAGAGTAGAATATTTAGAAAAATCCTGCAGTAATATATATATATATATATATATATTATCTTTCTTCTTCAACCACTTTCATCTCTCTTGAGCTCAGCTTGCCATGCTGTTCCAGTCAGTTGTTCTGTCCCCTGTGGAAGCTAAAGGTGGCTGGACAAAAATGAGAAGGATACAATTGCTACTTCAACCTTACATCACAGATTCCTGTTAGAATGGGAAGAAGCTACCTGTTATCCTATAGAGGACAAATAAGGTTTGAATTATTAAAGTATTTTCCAGACTGATGTAGAGGGGATCACTATATTCACAAATTGATTCTTTCATCAGTTAAGGCAGGCAAGAAGATTGGCAGGGTGAAAAGCTATACTAAATGAATGACTCAGCAAATATAATCAAGCTTTCTGTGAGTACATTTAATATCTGACTGACACTACTAGGAAAGAGGGGTTTCTTTATAGTGCAAAATGTTTGCAAACGCCTGCTAATGAGATGACCATTACTGCAGGAATGCAGCCTCTGTCTCTTTTAAGGAATTTAATCTTGCAAACAAGTCTAGGAGACTTGCAGGAATGGAGTATTTAGAGCCTGATTTGCTTAAACTGCAGGCAGATTCAGAGGGATGGGGTGATCAGGCAGGTGACAGCCAGTGCTTCTGAGTCTGAA